TTTGGCGCAGCGCAGTCTTGAGAAGTGGCGACCGCGATCACTATCATGGCTAAATTCGTCTCGTATTGGGCCATCGTGTATCTTTATACGTGCCTATCTTTGTGATGGTCAGGCCCAGAGATCCGATACAGGTTGTCGAGGGGGAAGCCGCCACCAGCCGTGTCGGCGGGCGATGCCCCGCGGGCCGCAACCCCGCCCGCCCTCAACCCAATCCATACATACGATCATGCACTCGTTCATACACTATTTACTTCACGTGCGGAGACGGTCCTTGATGACCTGCTCAACTTCGCGTAAAGATATTTCTTGTCCTCATATTAGCATCTATGATCCAGCAGTCGACATTCTCGCGCTTGGCCTCGCGACAGTCGGCTTTTTGCATCTGGCTGATAATTCCAGACGCGATGGCCTGGGCGATGGCCCACTAGCATCCTATTCTGGCGCACCGATTTTGACTGTCGGAGTGCGTATCATGCAAAGTCTTACTTCCGGCTAGGTCCTCTGGAACCGATAAATTCAGTGGACATGCGAAAAGAGTTCACCGGTTCGAGGGTAATAAGACTCGCCAAATATTAGTGATCAAAGTGGTGTTGGAACGCACATACTGAAACATCCGACAAGCCTTGCGAATTCCTACAATCCTTACTACACACATCTCACGAAGCAGTGATGATATGAAAGCATCAATACGAACGCGATATATCAACCATGCACGATAGGAGGGCTTGATTCTTCAATTTGTTTTTAACATTCTATCCGTCTAAACCCTATAGCAAGACCACTTGTCCCATCCACCATCACACCAAGCATACACGTTGCTGCCGTACTGACTCCTACATGCTGCAGGAGTGTCGACGCCGAAGCTTACACCGGCGTTCCAGCCTCTAGCTGAGCATCGCCAGTCGTTGCATGAATTTCCGACCCGGCTAGCAGTCAAAGGCAAAGCAGCCTGCTCACGGCAGGCCCGGGGCATGTCTATGCCGCCGAGTCTCTGGCCAGCTGCCGCTGCAGCAGCTACTGGCGCGACGAGCGCTGCTGGGGCGCCAAATGCTGGCCCGGCGAGGAGGCCGAAGCTGATAATGGCACCGAGAACTGTAGTGTGGGTAACCATATTGTTCCCTGTACACAGACGAGTGGAAGTTAGTAATTGGAGAGATAGGTTTATATGTCTCAGTTTGGGGAAAGGAAAGATCTCGCTACTCCCACATACCTAGGTATCTGATGAAGACTGATGCGAACAGGTAGATCGTGGCTGGGTCTTGAAATTTGTGAGATGGTCGCTGTGTGCTCGGTGAGTGGGTGACTATGGAGGGGAGCTACCTAGGTATTCAAGGTGAAGAAGAGTAGTTCTTATAGTGATTTGCTCCTGCTCCGAACATGCGCCTTCATGTAGGTCGTCCAGGCATATTAATTACTAGCCACGTCACAACTGTCGACCAAATGATAATGCTTGTACGCTAGACGTTGGAAGGGAGGGGAAGGGGGTGGGTCTAAGATCGTTTATGCTACTATGCGGCGCAGCTTGGTGTAGCCGAAGTAGTGATAAGCAGACGCAAACATATGTGGCAAGGCTCTCGACCTTGGAGCATATCGTCTTCCAAATCCGGACGTTATACAGCTACCATTATAAGCCCGCATCACCTATTAACTCTTTCTGGTCCCCTTACGCATCCCGCCCTAAACCGCATCTCTTCCATTAGTCCGCGCACATTCTGGCCTTCTGCTGCTAGACAGTACACATAAGGCAAATTGGCCTATGTCATCAGCCCTGCAAACTTCGTGTGGAAGTCTTGCTTACGTTCGCGTTCTTCAAATTTGGAAACGCGACAAACCGGAATGAAGGCTGTGAATGAAGACTCGCCAAGTAACCAATACACAACGCGTGAGAATGGATGTGTTTTAGCATCCGAAAGACCTTGCACAGTCCTCCTTGAACACGGATCATGAAACAGTGTGACGTAAAGCCATCAACTCGAAAGCGACATATTAACCACAAGTGACAGGAAGAAAGTGAATTTATATATTTCCGTCTATGCCTTGTAGCAACCCCAACTGAGCGCATCCCCATTGCACCGAGCATACACTCCAGCACCATATTGATTAACGCATGCCCGAGGGGTGTTGACGCCCGTCTTGAAATTAGTGTACGCATCCCAGCACTTCCAACCGTTGCATGTACTATCAAACCGAAGAGCTCTCCACTGAGGTCCAATCTCCTTTGTACAATAGGCGTCCATGTTAATGCCCTAAATCATCGATGTACGAAGTTAGTGTTTGTCTCACCAAGATTGCTTATATGGGAGAATCTACCCCTAGGTATTCACCTGCTGCTGCTGCGGCGATGGCGGGTTCTGCAAGGGCTGCTGGAGCGGCAACTGTTGGCGCAGCGAAGAGACTGAAGCTGATGATTGCGCGGATAATAGTGGTGTGAGTGACCATGTTGGCGGGTGCGTTCTAAGTAAAATTAGCCATCGTAAAGGTGAGAGTATATCATTGAAGTTTAAATGTCGTAGATCGCGCTATAAGAAGGGACTCGTTACTATGACATACTTGATGAAGATCGCTGAGGACAGGCGTACGGTATATAGCTCTTTCAATCTATGAAAGGTCTGTTGCGTATTGGAAGAATGGATGGGGATGGGAAGAAGCTGTTCGAGATGAAGAAGAGCCGTTTCTATAGCAATTACTTCATCTTTGAACATACGCTTCTATTAGGTCGTGAAGGCGTAAGGCGTATTCTTTGTCGCCCGGCTCGAAGTATTGGACTAAGCCATCATAATCGCAGGCTAAAGTTCTGGGGCGTAAGTTGAAGTGGCACAGACCGGCATGCGATGCAGTCTGGTGGAGTGCCGTCCATGCTGACATGCAGCATGGCTTAGAAAAGACAGGTGAGGTTGTCGACATGCGGCCCGATCCTGCGTAGCAAGTCTGCTAGAGCTAGATGCACGTTGTAGTAGATACCCAGGTTAGTATCGAGACAGGGCTGCTTATCTATCTGCTCTGGGCTTTGGCGTTGACAGAGTGTCGAGCCTGGACTGAGGTGAACTCAGATGGGGAAGGTCTGAGGTTAGGCCCTCCGTAGGATTCGAGTGCGGGGCCAGCCGAGCACGCAGGGACTTACATACTAAGCGTAGGATTGGTTCTGTTAAATAGACTTTTCTGTCGATGTTAGCGAAGGCTGGTGAAGGATGCTCACTACAGCATCGTTTAAGGTTTGTGGTCAGAAAGTGTGCCGCTTGCAAGGGAAAACCCACCAATCGTTGCTTGAGTCGCGACCTTACAGTAAACCTCTGAAAATCTTCATATGTCGCGCAATAGAAATGGACAGACTCCAATGAAAGGCCACGTTTGAAATCATCGCTAGGTTTCCATGTGTATCTCGTAGTGATGCAGAACGAGAGAAAATCCACGATGAAATTCGCAGGAGAAATTGTGGGTTACCGCTCAGACTGAAATCATCCGTCAAACAAGCAGAAACGCATTCTTTCTGCTCAATAAGTCCGTGCTGCCTCATGTATCACTCGAACTGATTGCGGCTAGGATCAGGCGCAGCGTATCCTCTCCTGAAGAGGAAGCTCTGCAGCCTATCCTCAACTCTCGCAAACTAGAATTCCGTTAGCCTTAAAGACATCATTTGCGACTCCGTCAAGTCACTATTTAGGATGCGCTCTCTGAGCTGAAGCACTTACAAAACCCCGTCCCTGTACTCCATCTCTGACCCATACTCCATATCCACCCATGAGGTTTGCCATCATGACGTCCGTGGACAGACGATCTCCAACTATTGCGATTTGATCTGGTCTGGTCACACCAGAGTCTGGATGTGCCCTGAAGTAAGCCATGACCTCTTCCTTGCAGCCAGGCTTTTTGGTTGAATGTCGCAACACTTTGACACCGGTGTTGGCCTCCAAGACATCGGCCTGAGCATAGTTCTTATCGGATGATGTGCCAGCTGTGTTAGACACTATTAAGAGTTTCGTGCCTGGATAAGCGCGGCGCAGGCGCTGGAAATGATCCTAGGGTAGAGATAAGTAACGTTTTGCATAAGAAAGGCGCGTAGCAGTACTTCATATGGCTTGTGAATCTCATCGGTATGCGGAACAGCGAAGCAATTGTCTTTGTCGAGCACTACAGCTTGGATGTCTACCTCTTTCTGCTCGTTGACCCCATCCTTCCCGAAGGCTTTCGACAGGGGAATGGGTAGATGATTGAATGTTGAAACTGTATGCTGCGGGAGACAAAGAGCCGGATTCCAAATCAGCCGGAAGACGTTTAAAGTGCCCGAGATGTTCATTTGGGATGCAGCGCGGTATGATTGCGATGGTGGAACTGGATGGTGACGCGCTTGTTGCGCGCTGCTTTTCCAGAGATGTTATTTCCGACGGTTCCGATGTCGTTCCGAGCAACTCTCGAGACCGACCGCTGCAATCAGTACCGGCGAACTCCGCTTAGCCTGCTTATACGTTTATTCAATCGAAGATACAGAGTGGTATTAGTGTTCAACAGAGCTCCGACAGTTTTCGCTGCGCTGCTGTGGAGCGTACGGCTATGTCATGGAGAGGAGAGAATCTGGTATCATAGACATGAGGAATATATACTGAAACACATGACAACGTGCTATATGAGATGGACGCAACTTGATAGGGTGTAGCTTGAACAGACATCGAGTTCTTGATGAGGAGCAGGCAGCAGAGAGCGATGGCATGATGACTAAGACGTGGTCCAAGCTCAACCTCAACTTTCTGTAGACAGCGATATTAGCACCGCGCACGCGCTCTGCACCCACGACACCCAAGACTGCGCCGTGCACTGTTACCGACGACTCCTGCGTACCGAGAAGGCGACGAAACCCACGAAACACAATCGCGCCCCGATCGCGATTTGCGACCACGCCACGAAGTCTTCACTTGTTGCGATCTACCACCATCCTACGGCTTTGAACGCGCGAAGGGCTCAACTAGTAACACCAGTCAATTTGGACGAGAATTAATACAACCAAAATGACGAGCACTATCGGCATCCCAATCAAGCTCCTCAACGAGGCAGCAGTACGTTCACCGTCAATGACTCTACCAGTACTTGAGCCTGCGCTAACAGGTCCCAGGGTCACATTGTCACACTTGAAATCACATCTGGCGAAGTCTACCGCGGCAAGCTGATTGAAGGTACGTCCCCATATCTCTCTTAGCTCTTAGGCGCTATGCTAACCAGCTACAGCCGAGGACAACATGAACGTACAGCTGAAAGACATCACTGTAACCGCCCGCGACGGCCGCGTCTCACATCTCGAACAAGTATACATTCGAGGAAGCCATGTGCGATACTTCATCGTTCCAGACATGTTGAGGTAAGACTTATGCCTTATTGGAAGGAGACAGGCACTGACAGGCCACAGGAACGCACCCATGTTCCGATCAAGAGGCACAAGGGGTCGCGGTGTCGGTCTTGCGCGTGGAAGGGCCACAGTCAACAGGGCTAGGGCCAGCACTCGCGGCGGCGGTCGCTGAACGAGCCGAAAGTTACGGGCGAAAAGACAACATAAGCAGAGAGCATGCTACTGGAAGCGCAGCAGCAGCGAGGACGCGCCATTTGGTGCCAGGACTAGACAATGGAGGGAAGGACAGGTATGCAACCAGATCGTTCTTGCTGGACATACGCTGAAGATTGGGATAGCCACAAATTTGATGATACCTTTGAATGGGATGAATGCACATTTTCACATCACCAAGAGTAGCGCGTGCTGAAAGAATGAACGGCGGCATATGGAGTGAAAACGCAATCGGGCGTAGTCGCGAATGTCTGATAGTCCCTGCGGCAGGCGGGCGCCTACCCCACGTCCAAAGGCGAGACCCCCGAGAACTCCGCAACTCGACACTTTTTCAACCAACACAACATGGACATGGAGATCAAGAACCCACGGCGCATCCTCGCTATCGGTGCGCCGGGAGCAGGTGTACTTCCACTGCTGAAGGGTACTTGATACACCCTCTGCATTACGCGCATCTACTGACTCGGCTTAGAACTCACAGGGTCCGCCCCAGAGCAAACCTCCGAAACCACGGCCGGCCTTACCCACGAATGGCGTCTCGAGACCAAATACTACACCGCGAATCTCCCTATATGGGTTGATGAGCTCAGCAACGTCGCGGAATGGCGCACCGAATTCACCAAGCCAGAAGCTCGCGAGGTCGTCACTGCGCTCGGTGCGTGGATATACTGCTTCAAGAAGCCAGTCGAAGCAAAGGATCTGGAAGTGATCAAAGACACCATGCAGGCCGTTTCCGATGTCATCGAGCGTGCCTGTGGATACGGTGGTGACATGGTGTGTTTGGCTGTCGCGATGCCGCAATCCATAACACCATACCTTGAGAAAAGTAATGAAGACTGGGAAGAACTAGCCATGGACTACGGTTTTGAATACGTCGACTCAGAGAAGAAGGGCAAGAACGAGTTTGGCGAGGCGACAGGAATACACAGAGTACGGGAAGCGCTTGAGGCTGGGGAATGGGAAAGCATGGCGGGTTTGGGCTTGGGCGAAGATGACGACGGCTTTGAAGGCAGCTTTGCGGCGGAAGAAGCGGAGATGAACATGGAGCTGTTTGGGATGAAAGGTGCGCTAGCCGGGTTCGACGACGATGAAGGTCAGGAACCTGGAGACAAAGAGGTCGAAGATCTGGAAGTCATGATGCAAAAGATGGTTGCGATCAAGGAAATGGGCGAGGGCATGGAAGAGGCCGAGCGAAAACGTTTCGCTGCAAAGGCAGTGAACGACCTGCTGAAAGATCTATGATACGGATATATCTGGACTGCCACAGACACTGCCGAGCACTATCGTAAATGCCTACCTACCAGCGACTACTTCAACTCTTCACGCCGAAACAAAGCAAAAACGGGAAATCCATCTCTCTCGCCGGCTTCCCATCCTCAGCATCAACCTCCTTTCGCAGGACAAAAGCCTCATCGACCCTCACCTCATTAAACCCTGTCCCTAACAATAACTCTTCCATCTCGCTTTTCTTGATTCCATGCCTCTCTACACCCGGCCTCTTGCTCACCGGATGAAACGGCACAGCCTCCGGTCCAAAGTCCTCATAATCCGTCAACGCAACAACACCCCCGGGTTTCAAACACTTGTGCATAGTCGCTAGGATCTCCGCCATCGACGGGATATGATGCAGTGTTAGGTGGGAAACCACTAGATCAAATCGGTACGAATAAGGCGGCGATGGAGCCTCTCCTCGATGGGTAGCAAGGAGCGCTGCTGCGCTTTGCAATTCATGCGAGTCCGGGTTCGTTAGGAAGTGGTTTACTGAACAGAGGTTTGGGTGATCTGTTGGAAGATCCGCAAGCTTGGTGTCGAAGGCGCTTATCATGCCATCTGCGGTATCGACGCCGATGAGGCTGCGTACGTGTGGGGCTAGCATGAACGAAAGGAGGCCAGTTCCGCAACCAATTTCTAGGACGTCGAGATCTGTGATGCTCGTCAGTTTAAGAGCGTAGTGGGGTGGCGGCATGATAATACCTTTGTTGCTTCCATCTTTCAATGCAGGCACATAGCGCTTGATGGCTTCGAGTGCTTTTGAAGTTGATTCTACGTGTTTCTCGTTGGAATCCCATTCTAGTGCTTCCTTGCTGAAGCGCGCGTTGTTGATTTCTTGACTAGTTGTCATGACGTTGGTGATGTGAAAGTTAAAGGTTATGTGCTTTCGAGAAAGGACCGACAATTTCTAGTAGCAGTCACGCATGAATAAATGTGAAACGCAATGCTGGGGCGTCGTGATTAATACGGGTATGCAATTGTGTATACGTAGAATGCTGTGCGGGGTTCGCGGGTTGATGCGGGGCGCTTCCGTCCTGGGGCGGCCGACAGTCGCGACTTCCTGTAATTGTGTCGCGAACCACAAACAATCGAGATCTGCCTAATATCATTGGCTTTTGAAGAAGCCCAATGGTCTGACAACTGCCAGTGCCGATACGACAAAGCCAGCAGCAAGAACACCAAAGAGCTAAGCCTCAATGCAGGAGGGGCTGTGCAACCATGTCTCCCGAGGTCCTCCAGCTGATCGCCCGGACTGATTCTCAGCCTGATCGCTATCTTCTCGCTTTTCCATCTCACTGCTCTCAAGTAGCCCGATGTATAGTTCATGAAGCTAGCAGAAATATCGGAACCTGGATCTCGGCACTCTGCGTTGAGCAAATCTGAAGCTTGAGCTTATCGTAGTTGGACACTATCCGACAAGAAAGAGCTTGGGAAGGGATGGCAGCCCTGGGCTACGCGCAGCTGGATCGAAGCAAGAAGACTATCCGCCTCCTCACTGTAGCACCTGGTGATCCGGATGAGCAAATCCGCTGCGAGCTCACGCATGCTGATCTCGACGAGTCTCCTTCGTTCATCGCCTTGTCGTATACTTGGGATCAAGGCGGCGGACAAGACGAAATCGAATGCTGTGGCACGACCGTTCAAATCGGAAAAAATCTTCGGAACTTCCTCAGTCAATTCCGAATCTGGGATAATGGTTGCGGAAGTCGACTATGGATCGATGCGTTGTGTATGTACTATATGCGAAGTGATAGAAGACGACCGTCGGTTAACTGACCGAGCTGAAAAGGTATCAACCAGCGAGATGTTCACGAGCGCAATCATCAGGTCGGCCAGATGCGCGCGTTGTACTCGACCGCCACATCTACCATTGCATGGTTAGGTGAAACGGATGGCAACTCTGATCTAGTCTACTCCGCCATACTGTTATCCGCTCCACGACAATCCCTGGGTCTTAGTAATGATGAGACACGCAAAGCGCTAACAGACCTTCTGAATCGAACATACTGGTCACGCGTTTGGGTCATACAAGAATTCCTCTTGCCCACGGACTTGGATGTGTGGTGGGGCACATGCCGTGTCAAAGCCAGTGACCTACGTCAGATTGTTTGGGCCATGGCTGAACTCTCCTCGCGTAGTAAACCACGATACCCTCTCATATGGGACACGCCTGGCAGCGTTCTGCTGCGTTACAGGACGAACCATCAAACAATGTGTCGTTTTGATAAACACGACCCCTGTAAAGCATTTTCGGACTCAATGTCATTGCAGTCCTTATTACGAGCTTTTTCCGCATCTCAGTGTACACTTATCCACGACCGTGTGTACGCTCTACTGGGAATCGCAAGCGATGTCACACATGCATCTAACCCAATTTCACCAGACTACACAAAAACGCTCACGGAGTTATTCCTGGATGTGCTACATAACCAGTATGGAGATGAACTTCCTGAAGCTACACATACATGGGGTTTCATCGATGCACTTTGTAATGTACTTGGTTTGAAGCGTCATGAGATTGAACAAGCTGCTTTCGTAAGAGCTCCAAAGGTCAAACGAGAGAGTCAGGCTCTCGACATAACAAATCACTCCATCATGTCTTTCGACTGGTGGTCCCCCATCTCCCAACAGGTCTCAGGCCGGGATCTTTCCTGGTGGATTTTGAGGCCAATCATCTTAGTAATGGGGCGGGAAACGGGCTGTTTAGAGGCGCTCCAGAATTACTTCAAATACTTCGAGTTGCATAAGAAATCGGTCCGAGGACCAGTCAAGAGTTTACTGGGAAAGAACAAGGCCCCTGTTGGCAAGGCTTATATTCGACCCTGGACCGATATGTCTGATCTGACGATGGTAACATCAGGCTGTGAGAGAGAGAAACTGAATTCACCTTGCGATATTCTAACCGACTCTTGGGTCAGACAAATTGATGATGAAAAGTGGTCAGTATTCTCCGGGACAAACGTGATGGGATTCACAAGAAGCGGAGTGGGGCTCTGGGGAGGCCACAAACCACAAGTTGCTTCCTATCACTGGTTTGGAAAATATGGAGCTGCAATAGTATTGGAATGTCGGTGCAAGAGAAATCAAGGTCACACATCTGACGTGCCTTGCTACAGTCCTGACTGGCATGTAGTAGGCACTGCTTTCGTTTATCAGACAGAGGCAGCTTGGATTTTCAATTAAGGAATATTCGAGGCTTATTCGGGAAAACATAACTGTCAACAGCTAGGTACGGCAAGGAAGCAAGACGTACTGTCTCATCTACGTACGCCAAAGGTAGCAGAGCGTCACAGAACATCGAACCAACACCCAAGCGTTCTTCTACCATTCACACTCCCTTAATCTAATCATAATCATCAACAAAACCACGCCCGCTCCTCCCAAAAAGCGCTTCAATCGCCGCCGTAGCCTGCAACTGCGCATGCGTCTCCTTAACCTTCTCCTTCTCCCGTTCCAACCTCCTCACTTTCTCCTTCTCCCTCTCCAATTCACGCTCCTTCTCTCGGCGTAGCTTTCTGAGTTTCTCATGCT